CCAGCCATAATTCAATTTTGCTGAATAAGCTGGTAAAATCGTACTAACGAATTTTTTGTTGCGTTTTTGAAAACACCTCGCGGAAAGTTTTTATCTGGCTTCCAACGACAAAGAAAGCTGAACATCTCTACGAACTTCGCTGCCATTTACAGTCAACTTATTTATGTATACAATCATAATGGAAAACATCAAATTTTACCAAGTACTGCTTAGCAGCCTGCATATAGTCATCATTTCTGCACATTTCATTACGTCACTGATTGGAATCTGTTTGTCTAGCGTTGTCTAGCAGTTTGAGAATGACATTATTGATGTTCAGCATTGAATCAGCATTTCTCATCTTCCTTTTCACTTTATATCATTGGCCTTGCTATTTTCGTCAAGCTTCATTCGAAATATGATGCATAAAAGCTATAAGGGGAAAAGATTAATCGATTTCAGACATGTCAACGTCAGTAAAGCATCGTGAGTTCATTGGTGAGCCAATGGGAGATAAAGAAGTTACGGCGATAGCTGGTATTGGTCCAACATACGGAGCAAAGTTGACTGAAATTGGATTTGATAAAGCCTACATTCTCTTCGGACAATTTCTGCTGCTCAAGAAGGACGAGGATCTATTTGTGGAATGGCTGAAGGATACTGCTGGAGTCTCAGCTCATCATGCAAAGAGTGCGTACAATTGTCTAAACGCCTGGGCGGAGCAGTTCATCTAGCTACAAATGGATTAATATTGATGTAAACATAAAATATACTCACCTTTGGTGATAATTTTTCGCTTTCTGCTCCTTTAACGGTTATTATTACATGTTGTGAATGTTACATTAACATTTTGTGCATAAAATTGAAATTATGTATGACCATCACTTGATAACTTTGCCAGTGAATCAGGAATAAAAATCTACTTGAAAATGTGTGGATATTGTTGACATTTCATGTGGTAGCACCCTTCTCCTGTGAAGTCTCATGTTACCGTTTTGATTTAAAGAAGCATTTACTGAACAGTCATCCCACAAAAATGTCAATCAAGAGATCAAGAAAAAGGTGTCCTGTGGTTAGTTAAATCCTTTTATGGAAGAGAATGAGCAGCAGTATAAAGCTTAATAATATATTGTTCATGACCATCGTGGGGAG